TACTTAAGATAAAGAGAAAAGACAAAAAGAAACAAAACAGGACTACAGGTTATATAGTAAAGAAGACAAAATGCGGTTGCTTCATTACAAAGCAGCGTGTTGAACCAGATGATTCACCTTTTGGATCTAGTCATTAATCCTTACAACACTGCAGTAATCAAGCAATATGACCTTCAGTGTACTGGGAGAGTGGTGGTGGCACTTTTCTCTTTGTTCAGTTTGGTTCAGACTGTTTAACAGATCAAAACGCTGAATTATTCCAGTCAGTGTGTCATAGAAAGCAACATATAGGAAACTGACTTCAACAAAAATGTCATAGTAAAACGCATCATGTTTGTGTGTGTGTCAATGTTTTTATTGGGCTTTAAAATCACAGCCACTGACTGAATGATAGACGCCTTGTGGTGCTCATATTCTCTTCAAATATGAATTTTATATGATTGAAGAAATGCTTTGACTCTTTCTTATATTTCTTGTTAAAAAGAATAGATCATGGGATATGATTTCAGACAAGAGATGGTGTAAGGAAATAAAATTAACATGTAAATACTATTAAAATATTTTCATTTATTCTGTTGACTTATGTTACTGTTAAGTATCACTGATAACATAGGCCTTCGGTCTCAGCACAATACAAAATACACTACACTTGTAAAATATTACTGCCCATAAATTTGCTTTAGATTTTAAGTGATTTTTTTATTTATTTTTTGGGGTGGGAAAATGTTGGTGTCACTATTTGTAGGATTCTGGTGTTAATATACATTATATAACAAAATGATTACATAAATAAAGGAAAATGAATTGGTTTGTAGGCTGTCTGTTGCAGTGTCCGGTTTATTCTGACAGAAGTCAGACACTCAAACACCCTGTAAGTCACAGGATGAGAAGATCAGCATGTCCAGCCTGACATAAATAAAACAGACATAAATCTAAAAGGATGTGCTGTGTCACAAGCTGAGGTTTGATTTTCACTTTCAGTCTCTGCCAGACATTTATAGGAATTCACGTGATACTGAGATAAACAGGTGCCTTTCCCTGAAATTTGAATCTCATTTAATGGGATTTTTTAGTTGCTGAAGGTAAAGACTTTTAATGGTTGATTTCAATTGCTGAGTGGTCAAATTTTATTTTGCAGTTTTGTACAGTTTTTCCATTTCCATGTCAGTTTCTTTGTATTTTCTTAAAAACAGTTGTAACTTCATTTACTTCTATGCCATAACAAGACATTAATAAAATGACATAAATGCACAATGCCAATATAGATACGAGGTGCGTGTTTATTTTCTGTCTTTACTGTGCATAATTCAGCACAAAAGGGCAGGATGGAGGCTAAAGCCTAACATGTTAAAGGTGACAGCTAATGGGTGTAAAGTGTTTCATAAGTGTCTTCTCAAGGAACAGAGCTGTAAACACTTAAAATGAAAACAAACTCTACTATGGACCATAAACAGTATAGTATTCACATTATGTTTGTTATTAATAATGAGTTGATGCTGCCACTGAGATGAACAGTGGCGGGCCGTCAGGGCCAGCAAGGCCTTCTCTGCTGGCCTAAACACTATTAGAAGCACTGACCTACATTTACAAGTGCTGTGTCACAAGCTGAGGTTTGATTTTCACTTTCAGTCTCTGCCAGACATTTATAGGAATTCACGTGATACTGAGATAAACAGGTGCCTTTCCCTAAAATTTGAATCTCATTTAATGGGATTTTTTAGTTGCTGAAGGTAAAGACTTTTAATGGTTGATTTCAATTGCTGAGTGGTCAAATTTTATTTTGCAGTTTTGTACAGTTTTTCCATTTCCATGTCAGTTTCTTTGTATTTTCTTAAAAACAGTTGTAACTTCATTTACTTCTATGCCATAACAAGACATTAATAAAATGACATAAATGCACAATGCCAATATAGATACGAGGTGCGTGTTTATTTTCTGTCTTTACTGCGCATAATTCAGCACAAAAGGGCAGGATGGAGGCTAAAGCCTAACATGTTAAGGGTGACAGCTAATGGGTGTAAAGTGTTTCATAAGTGTCTTCTCAAGGAACAGAGCTGTAAACACTTCAAATGAAAACAAACTCTACTAAGGACCATAAACAGTATAGTATTCGCATAAACGTAGTTATTTAACCTCTTTTAATGAGTATTTGGCGTAATAGTTCTTCTTTTTCTTCATCAGCTTTTTCTTCTTCTGTTGTCCAATGACGGCTGAGAAAACAGCTTTAGGTGCATTACCACCACCTTCTAATTTAGCGTGGTACTTATACCAAACGTTACATAAACTTCAGCGCAAGCTGTTGCAAACAGTAACGAGAATTGATACTTCACGCTTTCCGTAGCAGGTTTTTTTTTTCTCTGTCAACATGGCTACCATCAGGAGCGGGGTGATTCCGGGTTGTTTAGCACGATGTTTTCTTAGGCAGACTGGAAGACCGAGCCGAGGCAACTACCCTTTATCAGACGTTTGGAATCACGTAAGTCTTGTTTACAGTTTTACGTCTGATACTTTAATCCTATTTAATAAACAAAGACGCAAACAAGGACATTTCCAGGCTAACTCGCTAGCCGGTTAGCATTCTCACTGCGCAGTTGAGTGCATGTCTTCTGTGTGACTTTAATAGTAGCAGCCTCGTGATTTAAGGATTATATCGGGCATAAACCTCCATTAATTAACCTGTGTTTTAATTTAACTTGATGGGTTACTTTCCTTTAGAAATCAGCTAGAGGTCACAAGAGGTCACTGTGTTTCTGGTGTACGTTAAGCTTGTTGCACACTTGTTTTAATGAGGTTTAAGTTAATAGAGTTTTAAGGAAGCACCCTGATACTCTTAAGTTTTAATGCAGTGTTTTGTGTAATGACTTAATTTCTGACACAGCAAAAGGATTAAGAGTTTTTACTTTCCATACAAACCATGCTGCTGACCTGATTAGGTCCCATACATCCCTTTTTATTTGCTGATAGTTTTATATTGACTTATACAATTTTGTGTTATGTAAATAATGTATCTTTTAAGCCGAGAGCTGCCTGAAAAAAATGTTATTTAATTTAGTTGTGCTATGCATAATGACAATAAAGATTCTTCACTTATAATGACTTTAAACAGCTGAAGATTTTAGTTTAGCTGAGCCTGTTCTTAACTGTGATGTAATATTAGCTCCAGTATGTATCATGAGGTTGAATTTTTTTGTGTAAAGTGTGAATCTGACTCTGTGTCCTTTTGTTTCCAAACAGCGGTTGCTCCAGAGGTCTCATCTGCACACTGTGATCGAGTGCCGCGGTCCTGCCATCAGGACTCTGCTGGGCCACAGACATCATGGGAAGTTCATCTGGGTGAATGCAGTGGCGGTCAGACACAACAGCTCACAGGTGAGTTGGCACACAGGTGGTTAATATTTCAACAAAGCCATTGTTGTTTGAGCAATGGCAGTAAGCAACATCTTTATAAATCAGGTCAAAGTATATGGACAGTTTCAGATTTGTTTGAGTTGATGAATATTTCATTTCACTTGCCAATATTTTAATGAATGTCACATATGTCCAACCAGTTTGACATTTTTCTATTATGAGCTGCACTAGTTTGAAGCTCGAGTTTTCCCTTGTAAAGCTTGCACTAGGCTGGTTATCAACCTGGTACTTTTAGTTTTTTGGAAGTGTTGAAAGTGATGAAATCAAACTGAATCTGTTTGTGGCAGAATATATTTTCATTTTGTATGATTTGATGAAGCGCTCAATCTTTGCTAACAGTTAAATTGATAACTTTCTGCTAAATTGACACACATTTCCAGATGTATTTTGATGCTTCCAGATCCCCCCTAAGGATGCGTCCACAGCACCTCCAGTGGTGGGAGCTCCTGACAGTCGTCCCGTCCTGGAGGCCTCCGTCTCTCTGCCCACTGACCCATCCCCCATCATCACACAACCAGCAACTGAACAGGTGACTGAAGACATCTGAAGCTCAATCTTCTGTTTCAAGCCTGAGTTACTTTCTAGTTTTTACAGTGTGATATCATTTTTATTGATATTTTCAGATCACCTTTGAAACCGTTTCCGTGGTAGTTCCAGCAGCAGACAGCTCTGCTCCTCATCCAGTCTTGGGTTCTTCCCCTGAGCTTGTGTCCGCTGACCCCACCCCTGTTTTAACGCAGCCACTCATTGAGCAGGTGGCTGATGCAGCACCGACTGCAGTGGAGGTCCTGCAGGCTGTGACCGCAGAACCCCGATTAACAGAGCTGGGATTGGGCGCTTACACACCAGTGGGACTGATCCAGAACTTGTTAGACTTCATGCACTTGGATCTCGGTTTTCCCTGGTGGGGGGCCATCGTTGCAGGTTTGCCAAGACTAACAGAAATATGGAAAGATTACATTGGTATCAGATGGTGATGTTGATGTTGTCTGTGAGTATCATTTTAACCAGCATACAGTGCTTATTGTATTTCCTTCTTCACCCTCCTCGCTCTCTATTTTTGTTTCTGTTATTTCCTCTTGTATAGGAACTGTGTTGGCTCGTTTGGTTGTGTTCCCAGCCATTGTCAAAGGCCAGAGGGAGGCGGTCAAGCTGAACAATGTGCTGCCTGAAATGACCAAACTCACCAACAGGATGACTGAGGCCAAACAGAGTGGAAACAAATTTGAATGTAAAATTTTACTTCTCTTCCTTCATTGCATTTGTTTTTTCAGTTGAGTACAGGTGAGAGTGTGAGAGAGAGAGTCTGATCATCTTGTCATGAGCTCTTGTCTTTATGTTACAGTCTCCAAAGCCTACTCTGAACTGACCTTGTTCCAGAAGAAGCATGATGTGAATCCTTTTCGTGGCTTCCTGATTCCTTTGGTGCAGGTCAGTTTATTTCTTAATATGGATGCACCTTTTATATTTTACTGAGCTTTTACTGACACTTCAAGAATATCTCTGTTTTTGGTCATTTAACATTTATCAATCCTAATTTTTCAGTCGGGTTCAAAACACAGTGTGAATCTCATTGATTAAATAAAAATGTTCATTTTAATGTCTGTGGTCTTGTGGTAGTGACAAGAAATGATCTGTTTATACATTGTTGTTGTTGTTTTGTGCAGCGCTGTGTGAGCAAAGAGATGTTGTACATCTCTGGTATTTGTACAGTTGTGTATTTACCTGCCATTGTCAAGACCTTTATAGATGTATATCTGGTTCTGTGCCTTCATAACCAGTTTTGTTGAAAGTATTTGTCTTGAATACAACTGCACATTCAACTCCACACTTTGTTTCTTAAAACACTTGTGGAGTGTTAATGAAACTAATTTGAGAGCACATGTTGACAGAACGACTCATTCTGATTAAAATGCAAAGCAGGGTTTGTTTTAAGATCTGTAAGCTGTTATTGTCACAGTTTGTCTGGCTTTTGTATCTGTCCATGATCAGAACCAATCACTTGTCTGTTCAAATCCCCCAGGCTCCAGTCTTCATCTCCTTCTTCATTGCACTGCGGCAGATGTCATATCTGCCGGTGCCCAGCATGCAGACAGGAGGTGTGCTCTGGTTTCCAGACCTGACAATAGCAGATCCTTTTTATATTCTCCCTTTGGCTGTCACTGGAACCATGTTCTTCATCCTCGAGGTGAGAGAGTTTTCATGGAACTTCTCAGAAAGAAAGAAAGATCATAGTAACACTAAACCACAGTGAGTTCTCTAAATCAGTTTGTTTTTTTGTTACTATCATTCAAGTTAAAGAATCAGTACGAGTAATTACAAGAATGATAGGATTTTAATTGGACTGACAGTTTGTATTAGTTGTTGTCATAGACTTGCTATAAACTGTTGAATATAATCCTGCTGTCCTTAATAATCACCGCATTTATAACAACATATGGTCCTTGGCCTAGAAACGTAAAAGTTTTTTTTTCTTTTACTGGAAGAGCAGTGCTAACAGTGGTGTCTTTTGTTTTGTTTGGTGTCTGGATATTAAGTGTTTCTGTATATAGGGTTTTATCTGGATAGCTTTTATTTATGATAGTGTTATATACTCTGACGTTATGTACTCATGTCGCCTTAAAATTGTTGCATCAACCTGCCCAGGGACTACGATAATTAGATAAATGAAATGTTTGTCTCTTTTAGTTGGGGGCAGAGTCTGGTATCGACAACCCCAATCTGCGAGTCATGAAGACGGTGTTCAGGATCATGCCTTTAGTCATCCTCCCCCTCACTATCAACTTCCCCACGGTCAGCTTGTTTCCTGTGTTCAGCCTCAGATCAGACCAAACCCCTCTGCTGCTGTAGAGTCTGTACATTCAGTGTCTAAAATCAATTTCTTCTCTTCCCAGGCGGTGTTTACCTATTGGCTGACCTCTAACTCTTTCTCCCTGGCTCAAGTCGCCCTGCTCAGACACCCTCTGGTCAGAGAGAGGCTGAGCATCCCAGAGAGGGTCCAACACCCGGCTTCCGCCCTGCCCCAAAATGAAGGCTTTATTGCAAGCGTTCGGAAGGGTTGGTAGCTAAACATGAGTCCGTAAATTAGGTCTGAGAGGCACTGGATGATTGGTTTTTAGTAGTAATGTAAAACCATACAGTAGCTGTATTCATTGTTGGATTTGTCTGTGTTATGACTCTGGTTTGGTCTTCAGGCTGGAAGAACGCTCAGCTGGCCCAGCAGCTGAATGAGAGGGAACGGAGGATCAAAGATCACTTGGACCTCGCCGCTAGAGGTCAGTTCCACCAATGTATCAACAGTTTTACATCACTACATGGTTGGATTTATTTTAGTGACGTGTGACTTAAGGTAAAAGGGCTTGCTAGAATTGTTTCTAAACTATATTAAAGATGCAGTCTTGGTGTTCAGTTTTAGAGTTAGA